TTGTGAAAGCTAAAATATTAGGCACTTAAATAAAACAATGTATAACACAGTTCTAAGAAGTTCTCCAAGATTTTGATAGTACAGTAGCACACCATGTACTGAAACTGTGGCTACAAAGACTATAGAGACAAGGAAGAGGGTGTTGATCTAAGAATTAGAATCAACAGCTGGGCCAAAAAAGATAGGACTATGTTAAAATTTTAAGATCTCAAACATTCTTCCAGGCAATTCTTATAACAACAAAAATGTGGAAAGGAAGGATGAAAGTTAAAAAACATTCAGCCTAGAGTTTGCAGCTTAGTCAATCTGAAGAGGAAGATACTGCTTGATGTTGAGAGTTTCCTTGCCCTCCTGTACTCCAAACACACGTATTTCAAACAAATTAAGGAAACAGTAGTATTCATTTTTCTATTAACAAGGAGTATAGCAAAATCATTACAATAGCCAAAAACATCTGGGCTCTTTTTTTGTGCAAGACTACTATTAATGCCTACAATCAGATGCAAAATCGATCCCACATGTTTGTTTTGCCTTCCAACTGATAGGGATGGTTTGCAAAGATCTCCCAAAGCTCTAAATTTCAGCCACATTCCAAACAACTGACAAGGTGGTTAAAACAAAGACAATGTCCCTCCATGCACATCTCTCCAAAGAAAACCGGGGAATCAGCATTCCAGGTTTATTCCCTTTGGGCTTTTCCATCAATTCATCTAGGCCTTTACCTGGAGAAACCATTCTCTGGGAAGGAGTGGAGGGTCAATCAAATACAGAAATCAGGAGTTGCATTCATTCCTTTCATAGATTTATCGTGTGCCTGGGTGTGAATGAAACTTCATGAAAGTTCCAAAGAATTATCCAAAGCAGCTATGTGTGTTAATACATGTCTGTGTATTTGTTTGTATGTATGAATTCTACATGGGTCAACCAACTTAATCTAAGAATTGAAAATAAGTGGTTTGGGGTTCCCATCTACCTTTCTTGTTATATAATGAATAGACATTATAAAACACAATTCCATATCAAAAAAAAAGCCAGCAAATGTGAATCACGAAATACTTTACACACACAATCCTACATTCAAAACTCCACAGCCTTATCAAATCCACAATCATTTCAATGTTTTTTTTTAAAAAGGACAGTCTGCATTTAGCCATATGAACTAGCACCATTGAAAATGCAATCCTATGCATTCCTCAAAGCAAAGACCTTTCAACTTAGCAAGGTAAATATGTGTGAGACTACAGCACTGAGATATCTGCTATGGATTCCAATCTGTTGAGGACAGTAGTTTGCTTCTAAGTCAACATCTATACCTTTTCTTCTGAATAATCTTGTTTGTAGTTTGGCCACCTAATTATTCCTCAGTGAAATTAATGGGGCTTTTTTCTGAGTCTATGTATTTGAGGATTGTTGCACAAAGGCTGTACTTCTACCCAAAGATTGCATTATGCACACTTCAGTACTATTTAAGTCATTTAGGACCAGGAAAGGTGTTTCCAAGCAAAGATAACTTGAAGCTTCTTCCAATTAGTTGTTACAGTGTAATTATTTTCTTCTGTCTTAAATTAGGCTTTCTTCTGAGCAGTTGTTTTATTACTCATGATCAAATCTTAACATTCAGTTCTCCATCTGAATCAGCAGCATGCATATACATTTATTATAATTTAAACCTTGTACCACTAAATTCAAATCTACTATTACAGCACTGGTGTTGCACTTAGTTCCTTAACCTGTATAAACAAGATCATCTACAATCAGAACTTCTTTTTCCTTATCTTTTCTCTGTAAACAGAAAGAGGTTTCACGTGAATGATAGCATAATACCATCAAGAATGGCAGGGCCCCAAGAAAATAAGTACCAGCCAGAAATTGTGCAGCAGTATTTTATCTGATGTAGCAAGAACAAACATGATTAAAGTGAAGAAAACTGCCTAATGAGGAATGTGACTATCCTGCCCTTGCAAGGGAATTAATTCAAAAGGTGCTCCTTTTCACAAATTATTTACCTTCAAGAAGCAAAGGAAGACATGTGGTGCATTTAGAGAAAAAGTAAAATCCACAGCTGGCTGATAGCTCTTAACAGGATCAGGCAAAATAATGAGCAAACCAGTTTGACTTCACTAGGATTATTCAATAGCTGAATGGGAAGGGGAGGGGGGAATGAGAAAATGGGAAGCTTGATTTTGAGACTAAAAAACCTAGTTAGTCATTCTTAAAATGTGGACTTACAGTACAGGAATACTCTGAAAGAAGTCTCAATGCATTCAAAGCCAGTATCATCCAAGAAGGCTCTATTAAGTAATGTACTATAAAAATTTGGGCTGCAGCTGGGGCAAGGAAACAATAATGTTCCCTCCATTTTGGGGTAAAATATAAAATGCAGCCATTTTACTGTCAGGTCACCCGTTTCTGGGCTCCTTTGCTTTTCCATCATGGTTAGGGTTCAAGGGTTAGTTAGGTTGCTGTAAAGCGATATCGGCTTGATATCAACTTTGGGTAAAGAAAACAAAAGTACCTTGCATTTCAAATTCAACATGAAGCAATTTTGTTAATGTAAATTTCTCTTTCCTCAGTATGGGACACAAATATTTACTTTACACATTCAATAACATTTACCTATCTCCTGCCCATTCCCTGCTGTGGCCAGCAACTCTGACACTCATGCATAGAATATTGTGTGGCATTCCTACAAGGATCTAGAAGACCATCTTTGAACAGGAAGCTCCATTTTGTTCTGATACCTAAAAGCCATCTTGGTGATACCAAATTAACTAAGCAAGGAAGTTAAGGTGATAAACTTGAAATGGATTCTAATCGCTTATGTCCGACTTCCATGAAATTCTTATCCTTAAAATCATGTGTGAAATTCTCCTCATTGCGACAGCTGGTTTTAAATCCACAGTTTTGTTACGCTTCTGTTGTAAAACAAAAAATCCTGCACCTTTAGACAATTTCTCTTGTACCACTCATATGACACCCATTTTTGGTCACTGTTTCCTCTGGAAGTCTTTCATAAAATTGTATTAATAACGTAACAGCATTGCAGGATCTAATTAAAGGCCAGTTGAGTCTTGGTAATTCCTATGGTTTTAAAATAATCCCCTAGGGCAGAGGCCCCCAACCTTTGGGGCACTAGGGACTGGTTCTGTGGAGAGAGGTTATCCGTGGACCGGAGGGGGCGTGGTTTCAAGTGTGCCTGCATCATGCGGATGGGGCTTTGCTTGTTTCCATGGCCTGGTTTTTGGCATGCCACGGCCCTAGTGCCCTGTCTACAGACTGGGAGTTGGGGACCCCTGCCCTAGGGCAGCCTTTTCCTGAATTTTCAGAATTTAGGAGATGGTAGCACAGTACCTGAGAGTATTCTGCCTGATAATTATGGTTAAGCTTTCACCCCCCAAAAATGTACTATTGCCTTGTCCCAGGATTCTTGGTACTGATTTATTAATGTCAAAATTAGAGCCACCTGAACCTTAGGTATATACAGGATGCTCACACACACACATACACACACATACACACACACACACATCTGGAAAGCAATTGCTCCCAAATAGACTAGACTGCAGTGGCTTCAAGCAACATTTGGAAGCATGTCAACCACTGCTAATTAATCAGAGGCAGATCATCCTGACATCAGTGGCATAGAAAGTGTTATGCCTACTGGACAATTGCAAGCCAAGAAATATTGTGCTAGCAAGGCCTTTCTTAGTAAAATATCTTATTATAACATTGCACAAAAGCTTTAACTCTATGTCCTTTCATAAGTGAGGAAAAGATGGCCTTCCAGATGCTAAACTACAATTCCTAGCATTCCCCCCCCCCCCATGCTGGCTGGGACAGTGGTCCTCTGCCCTCTTTTTATGTTCCATGCTTAGTTACTTTAGGCAGGATGCTGGCAGTTTCACCAACTGTGTTTTAGAGAGTGTGGAAAGCAAATGCTACGTAAACCCAGTTAGTTTGCTTTTAGCTTAGTGGATTGTGTGAACACAGCATTTGCTCTTTTAAACCATGATTTGTAACAAGATGTTGTACAAGCCAACCTAGTGTAGTTTGAATTGCCACGCCAAACCAAATATACAATGTTAACAAGCTAAGTTAACAAACTAAGATATTTGATTATCATATATTTAATTATGACACCTTAGTTCTCTACTATGGCATGGAACCCTCTTCCTTGTTTCTCCAACCCATGGAAATCAAGGCCAATAAGGCCTTTTCTTCCTATCCATTTTCCTCTTCATTTGTGAAAGGAAGATTTTACACTCTTAATAACTCCCTGTGGAGATTTTTGCAACTGCTTCTTCCCCTCCCATCACTGCAATCGTGATTAGTGACCACGACGACGGCTTGCTTTTAACGCCGCGGTTCTTCCGGCTCCCCATCCCATTTTTAAAAGGCAAACTCCCAAGCGGCCCATTTAGGAAAAAAAGGGAAGTAGGAAAAAAAAAAGAATTGATATCAAGCCGATATCGCTTTACAGCAACCTAACCCTTGAACCCTAACGGAAAAGCAAAGGAGCCCAGGAACGGGTCCTTCTGCCTTCGAGAGAGGGAAGAAGCCCGGGCGGGGTGCGGGAGACGTAGAAAAGGCCCACTTGCACCCAAAAGCAAAACCGCGCGTGGAAGCCGAATTCGCGCAGGCACAAAACGTGCTCCGCGGAGGCTTTTTGGCGAAGGAGAGAAAGCAGAGACCTTCCTTTGCCCCGCGCCTCTAGTGAGAAGGTGGGAACCGGCAGAGCTCCGGAGAGCCTCTTTCTGCAAGAGAAGCCTCTCGCCCGCCCGGTCGGCGCTGCTTCACGCCCTCTCGCCGATCCGCCCCAAGGCGCAATTCCTAAACTTTGCGCGTAGACGCAAAGTCTCTCCAGGCTGCGCCCAGCACCGAAGGCCCACGCTGGCCGGGTCCTTAGGCCCCAAGCTGTCTCCCGAGCTCCCGGAGGAAGCGCACTCCCAACCACCTTCCTGATGCCAGCGTTCCCCGCCCGGGCTCCTTTCCCCGCTTACCTGATGCACGAAAACGTCCACCGGGGAATCGAGGGCGATGCCTTCCTTGGCGGTCATAGAGAGGAACCCGAAGCCCATCCGCACGTTGAACCATTTACAGATCCCGGCGCCATGCAAGGGCGGCTGGCTTTCCTCGTCCGGCCTGGGCGAATCCCCGCTGGGCTCTTCCTCGCCCGCCTTGGCGCAGCCACCTAGAAGCATACCCGCGGTTCATCAGTCGAAGCGACTCCAGGAAGCCCGCTCCCCTCGCCTTCCTATTGCCGGCGGGCGAGATGGGGGCGCCCAGCCACGAAGACGCCCGCGGAGGGGGGGAACCGGCTTGCCTGTCGGTCAGCCCCACACCTTCGCCCCGCCATTCCCCGGTTGCCCGGAGAGCAGCTTGGAATTCCGGCCCAGCCGAGGCATCCTCGGATCCTCACAAGTGGTTGGGCGAACAGGCGCCCTGAGCCTTGGGTTCTTTGGGGGATAGGCGCAGGGGAAAGCCACCCTTTAATCGTCCCTCCATGGTATACCCGGAGAGGAATCCCTGAACAAGATACAATCCCGGGAGCGGAGGAACGGAAATACAGGCAACTGTTCCCTTCGCTGGTCCAAATCCCATAGGGTGGCAACATATTAAATATATTAAAATATATTTGTTGCATTTTCCTTTCGAACTTCGCAACACTAGAAAAGAGGGGAAGGGCGAAGCCGGTGGATATTTTTAGAGGATGGGAGGGGGAGAAAAACCCAGAATGCTCCTGTCCTGGTGGATTTCGAAATTCTCCTAAAAGTTGGAAAGGCTTGTGAAAAAGTCTCATGCAAAATGCAGACTGAAGGGAAAACAATGCAAGCCAGAAAGGGCGACCTTTTCCTCTCGAAACCATTTGGAAATCTGTACATGCGCCTTTTTAAAAACAAAAACCAAAACCCAATCCCTCTTTTTTAAAAATGTTATCTCCAGCTGCCAAATACTGCAAAAGGTTTTCGAGCTCTTTCGTCCACACCTCCTTTCCTAAAAGAAAAAGCACATGGCAAGCCAAGGAAGAGGATATACTGCCCCTTCCCTCAAAAAAGTAATAAAAGTAAATAAAAGTAAGAAACCGAGGTAGAAAGGGTAAGTCTTTTAAGGCAAAGGGGGGGGGGACAGGTTCAGTATCAGAAGAAACTAGAAATCTCTCTTGAGCGCAGTCCCCCCCCCTCCCCCAACTTAAGGATGGATAGACGTGAAGGAAAAGTAAAAGAGGACGAAAGAAGAGGCGAGGGAGAAAGGCCTACATTTTACAAGAGGTAAAATTGGATAGGAAAATTTCACTTAACCTGCAAACTGCTGGTTAGAAACAGACCCCATTCTGCACCCCTGATGGCAATGGTGGACTCTAGCAGGAGCCGCTTCCCCTCCTCTCTGCCCGCCTGCTTCGGAGAGGGTGTCACCGCAGTTCCCCAGCCCCCAAAAAAAGAGAGAGGGGAGGGGGGAGAGGACAGGAGGGGCTGGGGGAAGATTCCAAACAAGAGGAGGGACGAAAAAGCCAGCCCCAAGGTTTGCTACATCTTCGCGGCAACAATAGCGGTGGGAGGGCCCGAGGCCTCCTACGGCTTCCCAAATTTCGGAGAGACAATAGAATTCCCCCCAACGCCAAACCTTGCGAGAGCTCCCTTCCCCGCCTCCTCTTCCCCCCTCCCCCCCGTCTCTGCGCTCTTCTCTCTCTGGAGACCAAAAAATGTAACCTTCTGCCGCCTGTCCGGCAGGCTGGAGCCTGGAAAGCGGGGGGGGGGGGGATGGGGGGCGGGAGAAATCCTGGTTAGTGTCAAAACTTTTAAAATCACACACACTAACCCAACATCCCCCCCCCCCAAATCCCCTCCACTCTCGTTTTCACACATTATCAATCTTGCTGCCTTTGGAACATGAGTGGGAGCCCGCAAGGGGGGGGGCGGGTCAGGATCGGGGTTCTGTTGGGTTCGGGATCACGAGGTGGGGAGAAGCTGGCCATGCGCAGCGGGAGGGCGCGCGCGCGCACGCACGCACACCCTTTTCCCACGTGACGATCGCACCCATCAACTTTAGCCATTGGGGAGGGGGCGGTATTTTTCCCCGAATTGGTAAACTAGAGGGGAGGGGCGGCTTTACCTGCCGGGGGAGGTAAGGAGCGCCTTCTTCCCACCCGGACTCGTTTCTGCTATCGCCAAGAGACGGGAGTTTCTAATAACTGACACCCAGAGAGAGACACGCGCGTCCATTGCCTGCCTAGCCCTTTGGGTTAGGATCGAATCAGCTTGATCCTAAACGACCTGTTTAAAAAGAGAGGCCCCTCCCTCTCCTCCCCTCTCCATTCTTTTCTACTTTAGCAAGCTAAGCCTCTTTCTTAGACGAACGGTCTTGATTGCCGGGCCCGCCATTCTTTTTGGGAATCTCCTCTGGTTGGTTTTTGGGAATGGAGGGAGGAGGAAGAGGAGGAGGAAGAAGGCTAGTCTGATCCCTAAATTTCCCTTTTGTGTCATCCCCCAGCATTTCGGGAGAGAAATAAGATCGCAAGCGATTTTTTTTTTTAAAAAAAATCCCTATATTTTCTTTAGTAGGTAAGTTAGAATGATCTCCCATTTACCCCGGTGTATTCCTCATACTAGGGGCAGAGGGAAGACAGACTGTTTGGGAGTATGAATGCATTTTATGTTGTATCTGTGAATATTATGATTGATAGATATTTCAAAAGGAAAGAAGGATCATTAATGGGAATCCCAAGTAAATTCAGGCTGTGGTTGAAAACTTGAAAGTCCGGCTTATTTAGGAAAAATAATCTCCCATTTTTAAAATTTTCTTTGCAAATAGAAGATTTATTTAAAAACATTAGATGAATTCTCTCCACCTCGTGCTATAAAGAGATGTAAATGCGTAAACGAGACTTATTTTTACTATAAACATGCTTATTAAAACCTCTACAGCAGAAACTGAGAAAGTCGGATATTGTGAGATTTAAGGCGGTAATTGGGAAACCAATCCATTATTTTTTTTTTCTAAGCTTTTACTCTCCACGGGAGAATGTTTTTAAATAATTTAGACCGAGCTAATGAAAGGTCTGTGGTCTTAAATCAAGTGGAAACTTTGAAATGATTAAGATATTACATTTTAATATGCACTCTGAAGCTGTGTAATCGCAAATACTTCTGTTTTACAAGGAAGAGGCTGGTCGTTATTTTTTTTAAAAAATCAACGAATTATAAAATAATATGGAAAGGATATTCGCGGTATTCACATCGGTCAGTTAGTTTGAAAAGTTATCGAAAGAAGACATTATATTTACTTCCCCCCCCCAATAAAATCCTTGGCGGAGCTAACCAAGTTTGTTTACGTTCATTGCAGATCCTGGCTTTTGCAGGGCACAACCCGGTTTTAATCAAATCCTGGGCGGGAGGGGAGAGGTGGTCAAAGCGATTGGAGCACACTCCTGGGTTGAGACTCCTTTACAGGCAGGGGCGCTGGTGGATGTATCCTGATGTCTATATTATCTCGCCGCAGCTCCAGGATTGATGGATTGGACTGGGCGGGGCCCGGTGGCTGCTTAAAAGACAATCGGCTAAAATGAGAGGCGATCAGAGCACCAAAAAGGCGATGATCGAAGAAGGGGAGGAAACTCCCCCGAAACGCGTGCACGAGGGACGGGAGAGATGCGCGGGCACATTCTTGGGAGTGGGGGGGGGCCTCTTATCGGAAACGATTTGGTTTCTTGCCTTCCCCCAAAGTGGGGAAGGGGATTCTGTCTTTAGCCCACCAGAGCTCTGGAGCTATTTGCGCTTCCTGCGCGCTCCCGTCCCTTTCCTCTTCCAAACCGATTTACGTTTAGCTTTACATATTTTGAGCGGAAATGGCCCATTTGATGATACTGGAGGGGGAAAGAGCCAAAGGTCTAAAGTTCCTTCTTCCTCATCATCTTCCCCGCCCCCCCTCCCATCTCGAGTCTGCCAGTGGAGGGGTTGCAGATGGGGCGGGGAGAGGTCATGCCTGATTTTTGTGAGGCATCTTGTGGTCTGGGGGCAGAAAGAGAGGGAAGGGGGAGCTTCCCAGTTTGCCTCCCTCCCCCTCCCCCCTCCCCCTCCTTTTTGGGGACTGGGGGAGATTTCACGGCTGGCCGAGGACAATGGCCGGAGTGACCAGTACGAACTCGGGAGGGCAAATAGCCTCTCCATTTCCGGTGCTCAGTTCAAACTGGACAATAACAGCCAGCTATTTCTCTGAAGCAAGGCTGAACTCTTTAAAGGGACAGCAACTTCGTTTTGAGAAACTTTCCCATTCACCCTCCTGTCTCTTCTCTTTAAATTTTACTCAAATACTGGTAGCGGAGCTGGAAGTAAAAATAATTTATCAATATGCATAAGACCCTTTGCATGTTGGATGCTTAAAACAAGCCTGGGGAGGGGATGGTTAAGTGGGCACACAAAGCATCATGCAAAGAGACTGGTGTTTGCCAAAGAAATGAAGGAGCATTGACTTGGATGTACTGACTATAAACTGTTATAATGTTAGCATGGGTGCCCAAAATCTAGGTATTTGCATGAAATAGTTGAGGGAGAGGCACTGAGAGTAAGAATACTCAACATCTATTCCAATCACAGCTGGTTTACAAATCCAGTACAAATATGTAGTTTATACATCATGGTACTCAAAACAGCTTTTGGAAAAGAAATTGATCAAAGTGTGTGTGTATATAAAGCTCTCATGCATGTGTGTTGTTCAGTACAATAACACAGTTGCATCTGTATTTCAGATACATTCTTTCTGGTTTAATCTTGCTTTCACTATGTTTCTGAAAATGACATGAGGGCACAATTTTTAGAGCTGATTACTACAGAATGCTTTATCTGTCACTTGCTTTGAAGCCCACAAACCCTAAAATATCTGTTGCTCTTACTTCATTTTTATTTATTAACTAAAAACCTTTCTTTGCTCTCTTGCTCACACTTACAAAATTTCCAGTTTTTTTCCTGAATTTAATGTTATCAGAAAGTTGATATGAATAACTTTCACATATTAAGTAATCTGAAGAACACTTTAAAAAAAAAAAGAACACGTTTGCAGTTAGAATTGCAGAAATTTGCAACATCGGTGGGAAGAAATTTGAGCATATGAAAACAAAACATTAACATAGCCAAATGTATTTAATAAAGCTTGTAAGATACTTCCCTATCACATAATATGGGCACAGAAATTTATGGACTTCTATTATAATCACATGCTCTATTTGCAATCTTATTAACAAAGAATGTCATTTAGACTTTCTTGTAGCTGTTCAAATGTCCATGTAGGCACCAATACTATATACTAATTGTTGACTGAACTCAGTAGAATTTACATCCCAAAGGATATACATTGGATTGGCCTGCCTGGTGACATTAATAAAGGAAAATAGGTTTTTTTTCTATTAGCATTTCACATAAGGAAGATCACAGTTAAAATGTCCTGGCCTCTAGCACCATCCTACTTCTGTTCTAATTAAAACTCACAGATTATTATCAGTTTCAAAAATCATCATATAAATTCAATTCTTTTGGAAGTGCTGCCTAGTAGAGGTGCTGGAGAGCTTGATAAAAGCTAAACTA